CAGACACAAAACTCAGAGAACGGATATGCCTTTTACATTCGATTATTATTATTATCATTCAAATATGTTACGGTATCCTACAAAAGCATCCTCATATACTTTTAATACCTGGATTTAATTTTGAACGTCGGAGATTAATATTTACAAATGTATGGATATCTACCTACCTATTACGATCATACTCTTAGGTACCTACTCGTTAGCATATAAGACAAAAGACTATGCAAATAAGATAGCAACCCTATTGTGATATATGTATATCCTGAAATCATAAATTCAGGTCAGCCGATCCCAATATGAAATGTACCATCCACATCTTTCATCGAGGAACTGTACCTTTGTCTTAATAGGTTTTATGCAAGTTTCAATTCGAAGGTTATATGTATTAACAATTGGTTCACATCCTTCTTAGAACGAAGGAAATTCGTAGTAACAATCGATTAGGTCATTTCAGAGGAATTTGACATTGACATAGGGATTCCTCAAGGATGCGTCCTTGGTCCTCTGTTTTTTTTATTTTTATAAATGATCTCCCGGATAAAATTGCACGGGGGAAAGTTGTAATGTATGCAGACGACACATGTATACTTGTTTAAGATATATCCGAAAGTAAACAAAAAAAATCAAAAACTGGTGCTTCAAGAACACACTAATCTTCAATCATATACATATAGGTAAAAAAAACTAAAAAACACGCTTTTGAAGAACATCGAACTGAAAAGTTAAAAAAAAAATTAATAAGCTTAAAACAATAACGAACGAAAAATACTAGTATTATTGTGAAAAAATCGACGGGCGCCTGATATACAAAAAATATGGCACAAAGCGCCCACGTTTTTTTCACAATTATACTAGTATTTTGCGTTCGTTATTGTTTTGAGCTTATTTAAAAAAAATATTTTCAACTTTTTAGTTCGATGTTCTTCAAAAGTCGCCATCTGCCCGCGAATAGATCAAGAAATATCAATTAGGTTACGAACAGCGCCATCTGCCCGCGAATAGATCAAGCAATAATGCCGATAATTCTGTCAATACAGATCCCGAATTCGAGAGTTACACACAAACATGCATACAATCATACATACATACATACATACATACAGGTGACGCTAATATAAAGCGTGTAATGAAATGATTTGAAATCCCTGAAGTAACTAATGAAGAAGAAGTAAAAATGAATAACTGAAAATAACAATAGGAATTGTTGGATAGGATCTGACAATTAGGGTAGTTTTTGGATGCATTTCTTCATAACTTTGACATAGACCATTTGAAAACGTCATGAATCCAGTAGTGTAGTCAGATTTTTTGTAAAAAAATCGTTAATATTTTTATTCAATTTTGGGCCTTGAAAAATTAGAAAAGTTGGCCCTGAAAATGACGAATAATTCATGAAATGTGTTGTCCTAGTAGACTTTGCAAAAAGAATTATTCAAATCGGCTGGGAAATAAAGATTTTATAAGGGTGCTTCCATCTTAAATGGGTTATTCTGTATGAAACGTACGGACATTTTTGTTTTATATACATAATTTTGGAATTCTACATGATCAAATTTTGGAAATGAAATTTTATACTACCTAGTTAATATTATCACACAAAAAAATGTTCATTCAATTTCTGCTGACTTGAAAAAATAATACATCGATGGCAGATGAACTTTTGTTCTGTATGATTACTCATTTTCTTTGAAAATAATCTCGACATATTTTACACGCTTTATATTAGCTTCACCTGTATGTATGTAAGTTTGTTTGCTTGTAACTCCTAAGCTCAGGATCTGTATTGACAGAATGATCGACATTATTATTGCTTGCAGATGGCGCTGTACGTAACCTCCTTGATATTGCTTGATCTATTCGCGGGCAGATGGCGCTGTACGTAACCTCTTTGATAGGTTGTTAAAAAAATCAAAATAAAAAATAGATTTTAAGAATTATACGTGTTAGCAACATTTTGTATCTACTACAGATGAATTATTTAGATATTTAAATATTCTCAATTACCCGTAATTTAGTACAGAAAAAAGTTTTGAACGAAACGAAAGATACATTTTAAAATATAATTCGATTAATTGAAAGCAAACCAGAATATGGATTTCAACAATGAAAACTTTATCGTGAATTGTACACCTAAAAAATTCAGTTACTTGAATATTTCAAAAAATCGAAAAATTAGAATTAAGGTGCTTGACACACATATCAAATCAAAAGATTGATTTGAAAAATAAAATTATTCACTGAAAAAATATTCCATTAATCCATTAATATTTTGAATGAAACTTCAAATCAAAACATCAAGACAAGCCAAAATTGTAAAATTAATTTAGGTTGGTATACCTGTATGGGTGGTACACCTGTATGGTTTACCTGTAGGGTATATCTATATATCATAAATAGCGTTAGCTTCGCGTTAGTTTCTAGTTTATTCTTTCTCTTTGAAGATGATCACTTGGTGATGGAAACACGTGTCGAGGTGTTAAAAATAACGATTTGGTGTCGGGAAAAAACTCCAGTAATATTCATTACTACACCAAAGGTGCCAAACAGTGCATCATAATGTCACTCTTGTCATTACAGTAAGCTCTGAGCATTACTAATATCAGATATCTGAAAATTATGACATTATTAACATCAATGCGCCAATTTTGTAAAATTTTTTCATAAATTTCCAATTCTAAAACTCAGATTACTTGTAAGTGTTGTCCATTTTTTATTTCTTTTCTTTTGTATTTCATTTTAGCGTCCTGACGAAGTCTCTATTCAGAGTCGAAAGCTTGGCGATTTGTGAAATAGAGTAGGTTTGTTTTATGAACGTTAGTCCCTACATTCCATCATATATCTTTATACATACATTGATTATAACTTTAAAAAACTGCGTTTATGTGGAATGAACTTGCTGAGAACGTTTTTCTAAATGGATTTCATCTCCAGCGATTCAAATCCAATGTGAATCGCTATTTTCGCACAGACAGACAGCTACAGCACGTCACGGATTTTCCTGTGGTGCCTGTGTTTGGTCCTTAAAAAAAACTTCTATGTGTATATGTACTACTGACGTGAAAAAAGTATTTTTGTGTTGATTTGATTTGTTCCTCAGTACGGCTCTGGTCTCTGTTACTGAATGATCAACGCAACGATTAAGTAGATTTGAAATTATATTAAAATTGAATTTTGATTTATAAACGCAATGGACGGGGTTGTAATTGATACTGACAAATAGTGTATTACTTTTTAGCAAAATAATGGCCAGAATTCACAATACAATTTGAAATTACCTGCAATAGTCTGGTTCACATGTACATTTTTTTGTAACATTTTTCAGCCCTGTCCAAAAATTACGACCAAGGTGTCATTCGATTCGTATTTTTGCCTAGAAAGTTTAAAGACAGGTCCGAAAACGCGCCGATAAAAATTACAAAAGTTATAAACAATTAA